TATATCAACACGGAAAATGTTTTATATTTGTTAAATACGAATTCAAATATTCTGTATATATATATATGTGTTACTATTCTTAATTATCGCACCAGTTAACCTAATAAATGGTTTGGTTTCTTGTTAATTAATTTTCCACAATTCGAATTTTGTCATTTGAACCAAGCAAAGTTACATTCAATCTCCAGGTTTGCGACTGTGGTATATTGATAAAAAACCACTGACGGGTGGACAAATTTAGTGTCAGCCTGGCATTATTGTCGGTAGCATTACAATCCAGGACTAACTCAATCGTGTCACTCTGTTTGGCAACACCTGTTAACGACTTGTTCCTCGTAAATATCCCATTGTTGTACTCTCCCTCACAACTGCAGGACCCGAGGATCCATCCATAAGAACCCCGCCATTCGAATGACTTGTTGTTCTCTGGTACAACATGTCTTTTCCCTATACCAACAAATATCCAATGGTTATTTTGAAATGATTCCAACTTCAACTTGAGTTTCACAATCCCTTGTTGGTACACATTTCTGCCGAGAACATATCTATGGCTCTGGTCTGAATTTGGACCATTAAGTGCGACTTTTTTGTTTTCATAAAGAGTGACTTCAGGGCTGTGTAAATTGAATTTCTCGCTTGGCACAATCTCAACAATCTCACCGGGGACGATTTCATCACGCAAGCCAAGATATTCAACAAGATTGTTGAAATTTTTTACTTGATCTTCGGGGACTTTCGGCATTGATGCGGGACTCTCCGGAGTTGCAATTTTCTTCGTGCGCAGATAGTCCAAAATGAAACCAAAATATTGTGGGCTGAAATCGAAGAAAATTGCGCCATCTTGATCACGCTCGAGACCATCTTCCCAACGTCCACTAAACATGGAAGCGAGTAACGAGCCTTCTACTTGACACAGAGTAGATCTCTTCGTGGTGAATTTTTGTCCACCAACGTTGAGATGGATCATATCGTCGTCGCTAACTTCAACTGATTTCATTCGTTGCTTCTCTGCGTTGTATGCCTCTACTTCCGCCTTCATTTTTGCTCGCTCCCTTTCGATAATATCATTGAATTCGTGCTTAAAACGCTTCACCATTTCATCAAATTGCGATAATAAATCCTCGCTGCTCATTTTGCCTTGATGTGAATGCACTGGGATTGGGAATGATTATCAGTTTGGTAGAATAAGGCAACAAACGTTGTTAAACGAAACGCAACTAGTCAGCTCGTCTTTGTAAGGCTGTATTAAAGCGAGAGCACTCTGGGAAAATAATAAATCTGGTTTGACTGGATTCTCTTCATTATGCAAATGATGTAACCTTTGGCTTTGAGTATTTGACCATACATCATTGAATCAAGCTCGATTTCTCGTTCCTTTATGGTAGATTCTTGCATTCAAGCATACAGTAGAGTACCACTACTACTTGTTTTTCTGTGTACTTGCAACATTGTCATTAAAAACACTCTCATAGTTTTAGTATATTTTTCAATGTATAAATCCTCATTTATAATATAGAAGACATAGCTAGTATGTCTTCTATATTGACTATATTGTTATTCATTTTTTTACTTTAAATATTTTAAGTTATATTGCAAATGTTATTTAATTAATATGCTAGAGTCTGTGCTAGTTTAATTTTTTATTTCACGAAATAATGTTATTCCTTATTCCAGTCCTGTCTATCTCATTTCAAAATTTCCTATTCATTCTCTACTAGATTTTAGGTAATCACATTGAACTGGGTAATCACTAATCACATTCCATTCTATCCAATTCTATCCTATTTTCACACTCTCATTCTACCCAATTCTATCCAGACTTATTCTTTTCTATCCTACTCTACCCTGTTCTATCTTATCATCATCATATTCTATCCCAGAGATTCTATCCTATTCTATTCCATTTTTATATCCCAATTCTTCTCTATCATATTATATCCTACTTCATTCCATTCTACTGAATTTATCAGATTCAGTGGTCCAATTTCCTTATATTTTATGGCTTTACCAAAGCCAAAAGCATTTGTAAGTACTATATAATATAATGCAACCAAGCAAATGATATGCTACCTAGTCTCTGTATACCTGGCCAAAAAATCCAACAAAAATATTGGATCGATCAATTTCACTTAAGCAGATCATTATGGTGGATGCACTAGCCGACAGATCAGAGGTGATACCCCAGCGTAAGTCGACAGGAACAAATGTGTAACCATGACGACTACACAATGACTGAAGTTGTGGCCAGTATTTCTTTGTTAGTTCTTCTCGTTCGAGCTCAAGACCTCCAAATGGTGAGCTGAAAAACACTCGGATAACCTTTTGTGATAGTTTACTTTGAGTTTGGCTGGCCTGCTCTAAGGCTGTCGTGAAACCCTACAAAATGCAATACAAATAAATTGACTTGTGTACTGTACAAGTCAATAGACAACTTGCATGTTGACTAATTTTTTATTTAGCTGGCAAAAAAAGTAAATACCCGTAAAGAACTTATTACTGCGGATTCAGGTAGACCGTTTATGCGCGAATCAAATCGAAACCTTGACATCCCCCCCCCGGGCATACCTGGGGAATTTGCTTGTTTAGTATTTTAAGAAGGTGGGAATTTGCCCTTTTTTCCTAGTGGAAGGTGGGGAATTTGAAGGGGGTCGGGAATTTGAATTTTTCTTTTAAACACGTGTGCAGAATCCAAAATGGCGTCAATGATTAATGGATGAGTTCAAGGTCTTCAAGTGCAAAGGAATTAACTTTGTCCTTGGTTGGCTACAAGAAAACGGCTTTGAACGATTGAAGAGAGTTTTTGAAGGAAAGAAAAACTTGGAAATTCCAAAATTGCGAAATGCTGTAGCTTCCAATTCGTACATGGGGTGGGGCATTTGAACTCCAATTTTTCCCAATACGTGGTGTATTTGAACGGGAATTACAAATATATGTAGGGAATTTGACCTGACCAAAACGTCAAAATCCAAATTCCCGGGGGTATGCCCGGGGGGGGATGTCAAGGTTTCGATTTGATTCGCGCATTAATGCGAATAGTTGTCGCGTTAGTTTTAACAGTTGTACGATGACGTTTCTAGGCAGATTTTCGACGTTTCTAAGGCGTGGCTTCAACGTTTATTTTTAAAATTTGAACGTTGTAATTACAAGGTAATTGCTAAATAGTATACTTCAAAATAAGGTTTCCGTTTTTATATCATTTTTTTAAATAAGTTAGGGTTAGGTTAGGGTTTAGTTTTGCGTTAGGATGATTTTTTCTACGTTTTAAAAACGAAAACCTTATTTTGAAGTATGCTATTTAGCAATTACCTTGAAATTACAACGTTCAAATTTTAAAAATAAACGTTGAAGCCACGCCTTAGAAACGTCGAAAATCTGCCTAGAAACGTCATCGTACAACTGTTAAAACTAACGCGACAACTATTCGCATTAAACGGTCTACCTGAATCCGCAGTAAAATCAGTAAAATTGCAAAATTTGTTTACGAAATGTTGTAAAATACAGAAAATATAGCCTTGGGAAGTTTGCGTATTTTCAGTATGTTTGTATTACGTGCGGAAATTGTTACCATTTTTGAGCTGAAAATGGCAACAATTTCCGCACGTAATACAAATATGCTGAAAATATGCAAACTTCGCAAAGGCTAGCTATACTATATTTTCTGTAATTTACAACATTTCGTAACGAAATTTTGCAATTGTACTAATTTCATTATGTTCTTTTTAACTGTTGTGTTTGATTCCCTTCTCTTTACTTAGATTAAAATTTAGTCTAACATGCAAGTTTCCCATTAATGCATAAGCTGGTGAACTTACACAATTTAATGCTTGTGGTCGTAAAGAAAATCCTGGCTTAATTATTGTCTTTGAATATGGGGGATTATGTCACAGTGGTTGGACCACATGGCTGGCTTTTAAAATTTTAATTGGCTGTTATTCTCCTCCGAAAGATAATTCCGCGTGGCAATTTACGCGTGGCATGACTAATTCTGTCAAGATTTTTGAAAAATACGCATTTGCAGTCTCTTGACCCACCTGCCCTACTTGAAAATGACCCCTTAGTGTGTACAATATCGAAATGTTTGAAAAATTGATTTTCATATGGGATTGGCAACTGGCATCTGGATTATTTAATCTTTAAAGATAAGATGCACGTGCTATGCACATATTTTCAATGTATAAAAGAAGCTTCAATTATATTACTCCAAATAGTTTATAAATATGCATTTTTATAAGTCACGTTTTGTAAATATGCATTTTATCGCATTTTAATATATTAATTAAATTAAACCGCTTTGGGAATTGACATATGATAATTTTGGTAAATTATGAGCCTCACAGAAACACTTCAAGTTAACAAAATGTCAACAAAAATACTTTAAAGTTAATTTATAAAGATGTACCTTATCAACTTGCTTTCCCATGATTTTTCATGCATGAACGATCGGTATTTGTTCTTCAGAAAGTTTAAAATATTTTGCTTTTGAACCACTTTTATGATCTATTTGAACATTACTTGATCAAGAATATTCAAACACTTTATTACAGTCCATTTTGACGGATTAAAAATGAGATAATACTCGAGATAATACAACTGTCACACTGAAACACAATCATTGTTTTGAAACTTGAAACACTTCTGAATGTTCTAATCTTCTAATTATGTAAATTATGCGATATACAAAGAAGACAACTATGGTTACTATGACAACATTGTAGCAGTGTTTCCACTTCTTTTTTGGGAAAACTAAAGTTTTTTACATTATGGAAGTAAATTTGAGCGAAGAAAGTTAATTAAAGAAACGTTTGAACTATTTACAGGATTCAACTTTTCAGACGTTTTAACACATTCGTTTATTATAGAAGGAAATTTTATTTTCATTTGGAAGAGAATTTTATACGAGAAATTGCAATTTGAAGTCACTACTACGTGTAAGAGATGTGGTAAATGTAAAATATTGGCAATAGGAGTTCATATAAGACTCGTTTCGGAGAAATATTTTGATTTATAAAATTTCCAAGATTTTACGGAAAATACCGGTAATGTCTAATATAAATGTTGCAATGCCTGTAAAGTGGAAACATTGATATTGAATAAATTAAAAATGCGGAATAAAAATCAATGACGGACGAGTAATTTATTCAGAAGGTGAATGATTTCCGTAGAAGGCACAATAAACTACAAGTGAAAAGTGCGTTCAAAGATCAAAATATCTTGTATTTTAACTTCAATTTTCTCGAGAAAACATGAGTTTACTTCGCTGTCCTTTCCTGGCTCGTCAGCCGATGTCTGTACTTCGTTCAAAGAGTACACATTTGATGAATTTCGCTCGAAATTGTCCCGTGATGTCGCGAGTTTTGAACTCTCTTCACCCGGCCAGCCAGCTGCACACTTCAGGTATTTCTTCTTGTTTTGTCTAACGTTTTAATAAGCTGTTATTAAGGTTGTGGTTGATTTAGGGTTCATTTTTATTTGGGGTTTTATGGTATCAAAGCTTTTCTTTCCCAAACCGTTGTGAAAAATTGTAAACATAAATTACATAATTACAAAATGAATTTAAAGTTCATTATTTTTTTATGTGAAAGGAAGTATATAAAATAATGACAATACATGACCGCTTGTAAAAGTTGAAGTATCGTTTCATAGCCAATTTATGAATTAAAGCTATCCTGGATAAATAGAAGGGATTTATTTAAGAACGAAGCTGTTCAATTCAGCGCTATGAGGTTTATACTTGCGTTCATATCCGTCACCCAAAATTTACCTCGAGTGAAGTGAAGTGTAAAATTTTACATACAAAAGTGGTCTATATTCAATCTCTGAAGTACACGTACGCTTTTTCATTTCAGGTGTAAAACCAGCTG